GCAACTTCTGCCTCCCAGCTTCAGGCGATTCTCTTGCCTCAACCTACCAGGTAGCTGGGATTACAGATGCCCACCACCACAGCCAGCTAATTTTTTTTTTTCCAGTAGAGACAGAGTTTCACCATATTGGCCAGACTGCTCTTGAATTTCTGACCTCAGGTGGTCTGCTCACCTCAGCCTCCCAAAGTGCTGGGATTACAGATGTAAGTCACTAGGCCTGGCCCTAATTTATGTATTTTTTAGTAGAGACAGAGTTTAGCCATGTTGGCCAGGCTGGTCTCGAACTCCTGGCCTCAGGTGATCCAGCCCTGTGTGCCTCCCAAAGTGCTGGGATTATAGGCATGAGCCATCACGCTGACCTGGTTTTTAAGACTAGTATTTAAGTTTGTGAAGTATAACACTTCAACAAAATGAAGTTTCTAATTGTTACAATGAATAGGAAACATTATCTGAAGTTTTTTGTGTCTGTGTTTTGTTTTTGAGACAGGGTCTTGTCACTCAGGCTGCAGTGTAGTGGTACAATGCTGGCTCACTACAGCCTCAACCTCCTGGTCTCAAGTGATCCTCCCACTTCACCCTCCTATGTAGCTGGGACTACAGGCATATGCCACCACACCCAACTGATTTTTTTTCCCTTTTTTTATTTTTGTAGAGACAGGGTCTCATTGTGTTGCCCTAACTGGTCTCAAACTCGTGGGCTCAAGCAATCCTGCTTCGGCCTCCTGAAGTGCTGGGATTACAAGCATGAACCACCATGCCCAACCTTACATGAAGATTTTTTTAAAGTATTTTTTAATGCAGTATATAAAATTTGGCTTGGATATTAACATTTTCTGATATTTCTTTAATAGATGAATTCTAGCCATTTTTATAAAGATTTCTGTAAATCTTATTTTTACATTGACTTCCTTAATGAGATTTGGATTCTGCTAGATAGATGACTACTCATAAGAATGTTACAAGTAACTTTAAAGAAACATTAAAATCCTAAAAGTAGCAACCTTAAAATTATAAGTACTGAAACTGTAAGCAACAATAGTAAGAATGTTTGTATATTTCTAGTCTGTTACCATGATAGCCTCCTATGATTATACTCCAAATGTTTTACTCCCAAGGTCTCAGTAGTTTAATTTAGCCTTTTTTTTTTTTTAAATCAGTGCCAAATTCCCCAATCCTTTTAACTTTAAATATGAGTGAATAATTCTTTTACCCTTTCTTGATCTTTGGACTCACAATAACTTAGTTAATTGCTTGTTAAAAGGAATCATACATGGAAAGAGATAGTATGACTGTCTGCAATTCCACTTGTAGTCATATTCAGATGGGAAAACAGTATTAATTACTGAAAGTTGTTTAGGGGACTGCTGGGTCTTGGAGTCAGCACTTGGGTTTGCATTTCTTCTCTGCAGTTTTCTGTATATGACCACTGTAAACCCCAGCTTCCTCATCTGTATAATAAAGATAATAGCATCTGCCTCCTCAGGTTATTATGAGGATTGGATGCAGATGTGTACAAGGCGATCAGTGAGGCAGTCAGTCACTAATACTATCAGCTTATAAAGCTGAGGATTCAGTCAGCCAGTCATTGGCAATCTGTTGTTTGTTGGGCTCTGCCAACGTTATTTAGCAACCAGTTGGAATCTGATAGCAGTCAGAAATTAAATAGGTTATTCTTGGGTTAAATAGTATATTCATACAAGTGATTGCTTGGATCCTCCTCAGAAGCTGCTATTGAAAAATAGTGGCATGCCTGACTAAATTCTGATAATTATCAGTTATTAACTAATCCTCAGAAATTAACTGTAGTGTATATAACAGGAACTGGCCTTTAGTTACAAGTTGAAACTATGGACAAAATGGTAGATGAAAAATAAAGCCATTATTTTTAGTGGCTTCAGTAAGTTGAAGGAACATGATACCACAAAAGTACTTTGTGGCTTAAAGAATTCCTTTTGCTGGCCATGCACAGTGGCTCACGCCTGTAATCCCAGCACTTTGGGAGGCCAAGGCGGGTGGATTACCTGAGGTTAGGAGTTCGAGAACAGCCTGACAAACATGGAGAAACCCCATCTCTACTAAAAATACAAAATTACCCAGGCATGTTGGCACATGCCTGTAATCCCAGCTACTCGGGAGGCTGAGGCAGCAGAATCGCTTGAACCCAGGAGGCAGAGGTTGCAGTGAGCCGAGATCATGCCATTGCACTCCAGCCTGGGCAACAAGAATGAAACTGCTGATAATTACATTCAGTGACATGTGTCTATATTTAATATTTTGTTAGTTTGAAGGTAAAATTAACTAGAAAATAGGAGGTCTGGATTTTCTTTCTCTCTGTCAAATGTGTGATGTGGACAAATCATTTGACCTCTTAATCATAACTTTTGCAAAATGAGGATAACTTCTGCCTCTCCCTTCCTAATAATGGCATTATGATAATACGATAGGTGAAAATGAGTTGATAATTCAGAGGTGGAAGTATTCTACAAATTGACATTACTACTTTACAACTAGTTTCTGAAAAATTGGAACTGTTTTCAGCTTGATTAGAACCATGACATGTAAAAGCCAACTAGGAAATTCTCTGCAGACTTGCTATTTAATTGACATAGCGGAACCATATTCTCATACTATATATGTTGTGTTCTTCTATAGGTTTCAGCCATTTTTGCTTTTAAATTAGCAATGTTGTTCCTAGATTTGAAATATATGTCTAGTCACTTTTCAGTGAAACTCACATGAGGCTTTTCTGTGTCTCTAGGTTATTTGAGATGACTTTTTTAAAATTAGCTCTTGTCCTCCCCCTACAGGAGAATTTGCAGCCTTCAAGTAGCCACCATCATGGCAGCATCTGCTCTTATTTCTTAAGTCTTGTGTTCGTACAATTTGTTAACATCAAAACACAGTTCTGTTCCTCAAATCTTTTTTTAAAGATACAAATTTCCAATGCATAAGCTGATGTGGAACAGAATGGAATTTCCCATCCAACAAAAGAGGAAAGAATGTTTTAGGAACCAGAATTCTCTGCTGCCAGTGTTTCTTCAGCAAAAATACCACGAGCATACAAGTCTGCCCAATCCCAGGAAGAAAGAGGAGAGACCCTGAATTCTGACCTTTTGATGGTCAGGCATGATGGAAAGAAACTGCTGCTACAGCTTGGGAGATTTGCTATGAAAAGTCTGCCAGTCAACTTAGCCCTTCTAACCACCAGATCAATTTGTGGCTGATCATCTGATGGGGCAATTTCAATCACCAAGCATCGTTCTCTTTCCTGTTCTGGATTGTTGTTGTGGAACTCTTTCCCCTAGCGACCACCAGTTAATTTCTGAGGGATGGAACAAAAATGCAGCTTGCCCTTTCTGTATGGTGCGTGCATGTTCAGGCCTTGACAAATTTTATCAAAAGGAAGCTATTTTATTTAAATGGAGGCTGAGCAGTGAGAAGTAGATGTGTCTTGGTATGGAGGAAAAGGGCATGCTGCATCTTCTTCCTGACCTCCGGGGTCTCTGGCCTTTCGTTTCCTTGCCCACTGAGGGGTCTGCTTAACCAAACAGGCTAGATAGTGCTGGCACATATTGCCTTCTTTCTCATTGGGTCCAGCAATTAAGATAAGTGTTTGAGGATTTTTTTTCCTCCACAATGTAGCAAATTCTCAGGAAATACAGTTTATACCTTCCTCCTATGCTCTTCCAGTCACCAACTACTTATGCGGCTACTTTGTCCAGGGCACAAAATGCCATGGCAGTATCTAACTAAAAGCCTACAAAACTGCTTAATAACAGTTTTGAATGTGAGAAATTTAGATAATTTAAATATAAGGTACAGGTTTTAATTTTTGAGTTGCTTTTATATTTTTATTAAAAAGAAAATAATTTTCAGATTTAACTGAATTGGAATAAAATAATACTTCCCACTAGAATTATATATCCTGAAAATTGTATTTTTGTTATATAAACACCTTTTAAGAAAGATCATTATCCTTTTCTCTACCTAAATATGGGGAGTCTTAGCATAATGACAAATATTTATAATTTTTCAGTTAATGGTACTTGCTGGATCCACACTAACATCTTTGCTAATAATATCATTGTTTCTTCCAACTTATTCGTAACACTACATCCTACATCTTCTTTCTAGTCTTTTATCTAGAATATGCAACCTGAAATAAAAATGGTGGTGTCTCCATTCATTCTCCTTTTTCCTTTTTTCCCAAGCCTGGTCTTCAAAAGGTTGGGTAATTTGGCAGCTGAATTCCCAGGCAGAGAACAGAGCAACTTTAGGCATATTGGGACTGAGGGAGGGTGTGGAAAACTTATCATCAGTTGTTTTTATAGAAAGAGCTGGTGTTTATTAAGAACCTAAATCTTTCTTATCTTTGCACAAATGGAAAATATAACCTAGTTATAGCTTCCTTTGGCCTTTATTAAAGGGTAATATCAATTACAGTCATAGCAAAGAAAGTATATGTATTAATGGCAAATTAATGGAAAACCTCCCTTAATCAGGAATCTAGACTCAGAATTTAGGAATGTAAATCAAGTCAGATATACTTAGACCAACCAAGCTAGAGCCAAGGATTTGAAAGAAATTAAACAGGACCCAGAATAAATCAACGAATTGGAAATGGTTATTTAAAATTTTCAGATTGTAACTCCAGGCCCTGCTATCTGTATTTCAGCCTTCTAAAAGCTCACTACCATTAGATGATTTTTGCTAACATACATGTGTTCAGAAGAAAGCCTATTGAAATTTTCATGGACTTGTAAAAAGTTGTCCTTGTAAAATGCAATCAGTTTGAAAAGCAAATTGTTTTTAAGTTTTACATCAGCAGGGCAATGTCTTAAAAATTCAGAAATTTGCAAAGATGGAAATAATTCACACTGATTTGAAGACTGTGCATAATACTGCCTTTCTTGAAAAGCATTGGCTATTTTTTTTTTTTTAATGTCTCTAGATGCTTTTATATGTGGCTGTGTTCCCTTTACCAAGATTGGCTTCAAGTTTCTGCAGGTTGAGAGACCTGGGCTTGAACAGACGATGTGTTTCATGTCCTGCTGAGGAGGCAGAATGTGTGCATGGCTGGGAGCAGGACTGCGTCAGCCAGGCAGTGGCAGCACCATTAGGGAGCAAGCTGAGCATTTGAATTTCCTAAACAATATTCAGGGTGATACACTGTTTCTTCCCTTGCATTCTAGAATAGGCTGGTATCTCATTTGAGTAGGGAGAGCAGACCTGATCTCAAATGAAGCTGTGCCCAGGAGCCAGGCTCAGCATATTGAGATTTTTTTTATAGAGACCTTAAAAAATAAAATATTTAACCTCTCTTTTCTTCCTTTTTCCATTAAATAGTTTTTTTCTCTAGTTTACAAATGACATGAAAATAGATTTTGTGTTTTATCTGCTTTATTTTTTGATGCTTAGATAACAGACTTATTGAGCTCCTAAAAACTATACCAGGAAGAAGTCCTTATTTATGAAAGCACTTTATGAGTAATTGTATAGACGGTATGTGGCTGCGTCACTGACCATCTTGTAAGGGTGTCACAGTCTTGTCTGTAGTGGCCGCAGTGCCTTCTGTAGTGTGTTTTAGTTTTGGTAGGGAGAGGTGAAACCCTCTGAAAAATTTGAGAGCAACTAAAGCAGATTGTTTTTAACTGTGTAGTATTCCTGATGGACTTTTCTCATCATTACAGTCTAGGACATAGACTTTTGCCACTGAAATAATATTGACCAAAAAAAGTAGTTTTTAAAAGGGATTTGTGAATAGAAAATGTGATTGTTTATTGTTAATGTGCACCTTAAAAGAAGATTCTGTCTAGCTGTCAAATTCTGGTTCCTGAACATCCCACCCCTGATTGTATTTGAGATCTAGTAGGGGGCATTCCAAAAGATAAAATCCCATATAAATGATATGTGCTATATTTATGTTGGTGTTGGAGAAGAAAGTGCAGTATATAAAGAAATAAGATAGCAGCACTGTCAGCCTGAAACTTTGTAAATATTTCCTAGCTTCTGGTTTGGTGCAGTGGCAGCACTTTCATCACAGGATGTTACCTTGTATTCATCAGTGGAGTGCGAGCTGCTGCACACCCTCCTCAGATCTCACCTGTCCCCACTGTACATCCACCTCGCCAGCCGCTTGCAAACCTCATCTCTAGTTTTAGTTTGAAACCACATTGCAGGGTTCAGGTGACCTCTTCAAAAAACTACCTCCTCGGAATGAGGTCATGAATAGTTATTTATTTTAAAATAATGAAAAGTCAGGAGCTCTAGAACATGACGATGATTTAAGATTTTAACTTTTTTGTGTACTTGTATTTGAGCACTCTCATTTTGTCCTAAAGGGCATTATACATTTAAGCAGTAACACTGTAAAAAAAAAAAAAAAAAAATGTGTTGCTCAGAATATCTGAATGTTGTTGAAAGTGGTGCCAGAACCTGTTGAGGGGTACGTTTCAGAATCTTAACCTTGAATCAGTTGCATGAAAATAAATAGCTATGGTATCACTTCACTAATAGTGATTTAATTTTCAGTAGGCTTGGCAAGACAGTACCTCATTATAATGAGTTAGGTGCAGCTTTGTCATGTGCACAGGCATTCATAGAGAGACTGCCCAGCTAAGAGGTAGAATGATTACTCTTTTTGCAAGATTCTCTTCTTTGTCCAAGTTGGCATTGTTAGTGCTAGAATACCGGCACCTTGAGACTAGCAGATTCCAACCATTAGGCTGTAAACACCATAGCCAGAGATGGAAGGTTTACTGTGAGTATGAACAGCAAATAGCTTACAGGTCATGTGTTGAAATAGTATATATAGGTGAGGCTCTAGAAAAATACCTTGACAATTTGCCAAATGATCTTACTGTGCCTTCTTGATGCAATAAAAAAGCTAAAATTTTAGCAGAAATCAGTGATTTGTGAAGAGAGCAGCCACTCTGGTTTAACTTAGCTGTGTTAATAATTTTTAGAGTGTAATTTAGACTGCATAGATAAATGCACTAAAGAGTTTATAGCCAAAATCACATTTAACAATGAGAGAACACACAGGTAAATTTTCAGTGAACAAAATTATTTTTTTAAAGCACATAATCCCTAGTATAGTCAGATATATTTATCACATAGAGCAACTACCTTGAAAATACAGTTAGTTCAGTGACATTTCTAGAGAAACTTTTTCTACTCCCATAGGTTCTTCAAAGCATGGAACTTTTATACAACAGAAATGTTGACAGAAATTTCAAGAAATTGCTGTAGTTTAGGGTTGAAGTACTGTATGATGGGCAGCAATTAATGTATTAACTTAGAAGGGGAAATTGAAATACAGGACAGAATTTGGTTTTATCAGTTTCCAGAGTACTGCTGCCAACCTAGACACTGATTTTTCAAAGTTTGAAATGTAAATTTCCTCCCAGGACTTGCTTGCAAGTGAAGCTGGACTGCGCTAGTCATCCTGCCCCAAAGCACTGTGGGGTCTGGGGTGGAGGTCTCTCAAGTCAAGGCGTCCTTTATGATGTGGCAGTTGGATGTAAAAGAAAACATTCCATGGTGTGATTCTTGTATCTTCTTTCATTCCTCACCAACAAAAGAGGAAGCCCATGTATTGTCTCCAGTGCATCCTTGAAATGTTACACAGGGATGGATTACTGATGCCTGTCAGCAGTTGAGCCCCAGAAGAGGGTATTAGCATCTCTGCCTCAGGCGATGATTTGTAGCTTGGCCAGAGGCGAGTGGAGTCACCAGTGTATTTGTGGTCCGTGTTGCTAGCTCTGGTAAAACTGAAAATATTGGTAAGATGTTTATTTTATTAGTATACTAGATAGCCCTGTTTTGTTGTTTTCAAATAAGCTATTTTCACTTTTGTTTGGGCAAGGACATTTAAGTCGAAATTCAGTTCTAATTTTTGTTAATTGTGGAAAGAGTAACAGTTCCTATCAGGTATTTTTAAGGTGGAAGAGGACAGAAACCCAAGTCCTAAAATCTTAAGATAACAGTGCTTTAAAAAAAAAAAAAAAAGGCATAGGGCCAATTAGTTCCCAACTCAATGAAGGGATTAAAGTACTTTTATTTAACTTCCACAAATTCAACTGTTAAGTTTTATTAATTACTAAATCAGCTTTATTAAAATGTTGACATTTATTTAGCTATTTTGAGTAATTACAGGGACATAACCAGTTGTGTATGAGGACACAGCCAATGTAAGCCAGTGTATCCATTTTTTAGAGGTGCTTTTTTTTTTTTAAGAATTCTGTAAATTGAAGTGCTCTGAAAACTACTAAAATATGTTTATTCATGTTAGTATCAAAAAATGTTTTGTACAAACCATCTGCTTCTCCTGGCCAGCCAAGTTCATTCTCCAGCACCATGACTGCTGGTTCTCACGTACATATGCCGGAGACTTGGCAGAAAATTTGTGAAGAGATGCCGCAAAGGAAGGATCTGTTTACAGGGGTGGGAATGGGGGTTTGGATGAAATTGCTTAGTCCTGGTTTTGTTTTGAAAATTACTGTGTTGCATTTTTGTATTAAGTTTTTGAACGCACATGTATTTTGGTGGAGTATGAGTTAGAAGACACTGCAGACTAGCATAAACAACAAAGCTCAGAGAGTGGGCACAGATGCAGAGAAGAGACCAAAATGGGGTGAGATGGCAGTAAGTCTAGGATAGGGAAAAATTTATGTGAGGGTGGGAAATAAACTGTCATTACCTGAAATCAAATGTAAGAGTGCAATAAGTAAGCTTTTTATTCTAAGCTGTGAAAGGTTTGAGAATCATTCCTTCCTAATACATTTGTGTATGTTCCATAGCTGATTAAAACCAGCTATATCAACATATAATGCCTTTTTTTCATGTTAATGACCAACATAAGTGGCTAGCGTTTATGTCTTATTTATCTTCATGTTATGTTAATTTACATACAGGGGTTTGTGTCTATGTGCTGTCCCCTTCTCCTGCCTTCATTTTAATTTATTCTCTTTTATTCTTTTTTTTTTTTTTTTTTTAATTTTTTTTTTTTAGTGGTTTTTTTTTTATTTTTTTTTTTTTTTTTTTTTTTTTTTCTTAATTGGATTTGGACCTGAAGAAAGACCACCTTCATTTTAAAATGCACCATGGGTCCTCCGTGTTTCCTTTGGCCATGCCACATAGTTTAGTCTCAGTTTGGCCTTCATGATGTCGCTTGATTTTTGAGGAATATATCACAGTGATATATATTTGTGGTAATCTCATTTGTTGGTTGCACATCTGATCCTTTGCTCAACACGGCAATTGCTGCTTTTCCTAAGATAGGATCATATAACTGATCAGAGGATTGAATTTGATCATTCATCAAAAATATGTCGCTCTCTGAATTTTATTCATTAGTTGTGATTGCTCTTTGGTTTAGACCAAGCAAAAGGACATACCCCCTCTTCATGTATTCCTTGGCTTGAGGACATGTCTCCTGTAAGGGAGAGGAAAGGAAGATGCTTCCTGTTTGAACTGCAGTGAATTCATGGTTCCTGTTTCACTACTCCAAACCTTATGGCGACTCACACACACATTCCTCTTTTCTGTTATTGCCAAAGGTTCGGGTTTAGTACACTTCAGTTCCACTCAAGCATTGAAAAGTTCTCATGAAGTCTGGGGCAGGCCCAGTGAAAAGATGGGGACTTTTTAATTGTCCACAGACCTCTCTATACCTGCTTTGCAAAAATTACAATGGAGTAACTATTTTTAAAGCTTATTTTTCAATTCATAAAAAAAGACATTTATTTTCAGTCAAATGGACGATGTCTCCCTGTTGTCCCCTATTCTTAATGTTTGCTTGAATCTTTTATTTTTATTTTTTTTTTTAATTCTTCCCCATACCTACTTCCTGATACTTTGGTTCTCTTTCCTGCTCAGGTCCCTTCATTTGTACTTTGGAGTTTTTCTCATGTAAATTTGTATAACAGAAAATATTGTTCAGTTTCGATAGAAAGCATGGAGAATAAATTTAAAAAGATAGCTGAAATTCAGATTGAAGAAATTTATTTCTGTGTAAAGTTATTTAAAAACTCTGTATTATATAAAAGGCAAAAAAAGTTATATGTACTTGATGTGAATATGCGAATACTGCTATAATAAAGATTGACTGCATGGAGAAGTCTTCATCAGGACTATTTTTCTAACATCATTACAATCAGTAACAAAAGTAGTCAGCAGTTTTAACAGTTCTTCTAGACAATGGAGAGACTAAGAAATGTACATTTTGTTTCTTAATGTTGGTTACTGCTTAGTGGGTAGAAGTTGAAGTAAGTTGTCAAGATCGTGCCTGATACATGATACATGCTATACAACTTGTAGTGGCAGCAGCCTTTTGTCAGGTGTTGGTGATGACCTTCAGTATTTTAGATGTTGACCTGATGTATCTTTAGCTGCAAATGACTGCTCTCCCTGTGGTTCAGTTGGAGTGTGTGCCTTACTTTAGTCATGTTTAAAGTTTATCTGCAGAAACTCACCTTAGAATTGTATTTTTTCAAACTTTTGACACAGCTTGTATTTTCTATAGTAACACAGAACATACACACTAACATTTATTGGAAACTATGCACTCATGTTTTCTACTTTTTTTAATGTGGTTACCTCAGTGAGTTGATTTTGTGCATTTGATTTCATGGCCCACCCCCAAATAAAATTCACTCAAGTCTGAAAAACACCTAGAGTATCTCCAGACAAAATATATCAAAGTACTGGGCAAGGTTTCCAGAAAAGAAGTAAACAGTTTTAAAACTCACCTGAAGTACACTGTGTGTGTGTATGTGTGTGTGTGTGTGTGTACACACACACACATATATATATATATACACACACACACACACACATACATGTACATTTTTTTAAAAAACTCACCTGTGGCCAGACACTGACTCACACCTGTAATCCTCGCAATTTGGGAAGCTGAGGCAGGTGGATCACCTGAGGTCAGGAGTTTGAGACCAGCCTGACATGGTAACCCCGTCTCTACTAAAAATACAAAATTAGCCGGACATGATGGTGCATGCCTGTAATCCCAGCTACTTGGGAGGCTGAGTCCAGGAGAATCGCTGGAACCCAAGAGGCGGAGGTTGTGGTGAACCAAGATCACGCCATTGCACTCCAGCCTGGGCAACAAGAGCAAAACTCTATCTCAAAAAATATACAAAAATTAGTCAGACATCTGTAATCCCAGCTACTCAGGAAGCTGAGGCAGGAGAATTGCTTGAATCTGGGAGGTGGAGATTGCAGTGAACCGACATCCTGCCATTGCTCACCTGGGTGACAGAGCAAGACTCCATCTCAAAAAAAAAGAAAAGTGACCTACAAAAGTTATGTCTGAGAATAATATGAAGGAACAGAAAAGTCTAAAGAGAGCTTGTGCCTGAGGAATCTGGTTTCACCCCTCCTCCCAAACCATAATAATGCTTTCAAGACTTAAGAGGCTAAGGCAGGATTGCTTGAGCCTAGGAGTTGGAGGTAAGCCAGGACAATACAGCAAGACCCCCATGCTACAAAAATAAATGTCAAGACAATTTCCTATGAACTGCAATTTTCTCATCTGAAAAATGTAATTCTATAATATAAACATTATAGAAACTCATTTTCTAAACCTTCGTGCATGATTACAACAGAGTAGTTGTGGCTTTAAGAACATACACCATAATATATGAGGTTTTCCTTAAAATTTAGCCCAGAACTATGGACACTTTAGTTATTATAAAGAACTCTACCACAGTAGCTCTTCTGAAACTTCTTTGAGGGGCTGTGACAATCAGACCTACTGTCTTTTGAGTTATATAGTTCTCCTAGACTCAAAATGTTAGGACAAAAAGTGTTCTTAAAATTGAGCTGGGCTCATTGACTCACACCTATAATCCCAACACTTTGGGAGGCTAAAGTGGGAGGATCACTTGAGGCCAGGATTTCCAAACTAGCTTGGGCAAAAATTTTATTTTTTATTAATTGGGCATGGTGGCATGAACCTGTGATCCCAGCTGAGGTAGGTGGAGACTGCTTGAGCCTGGAAGGTCAAGGCTACAGTGAGCTGTAACAGCACCACTGCATTCCAGCCTGGGCAGCAAAGCAAGACCTGTCTTGAGAAAAACTGGTCCAACTCCTCTTATATCAGTTGCTGAATGTGCAGCCCCAAAGGATACGACTCTGCTAGGCTTATGTAGGCAGGACCCAAGATCTGTACCATGCATTTTTTTACATAGGTGTATGTTACGTATATATAATTTTGTCATGGCGGCTATAACGAGATGTAGCTAGTACTGACTCCATGACAGTGAGTTTGTAGCTGGAAATGGATGTTGTGCTAGGCATACTCCACTTGTCCCTACTGTTGTCATCACCAATCTGGAAAGGCACTGCTAGTGTAGGTGACAAAAGGCAAAGTCCCAGCTGCTGAGGCAGGTCCACACACCAGCTCAGGGAGCTTCCATTTCCTTGACACTGCACAGTGGCATCCCACCAATGCTCCTGATGACATGGTTACAGCAGGCGACAGGGTCAACCTCTTCTATACAACAGTTCTAGGGACAACTGGAAGCAAGATGACTTCTGTATCTTCCTGTAACATTCATGTAACAGCTGTTCCTTCTGTAGCACCTCTCATCTCAAACTTACTAGACAACTAATTTTGGTGTTTACTTAAGTTTCCCTAGGAAACAGTAAAGTTATGAACTTGTGTGCTAAAATTTGACAGTTGACCTCTGTTGCCATTTTAGGCCATACCCTAAAACTTACTTCAAATGTACCTGTAGCCGCTCATCACAGAGAGGAACAGATACCCTAAATGTGCCTGTTTTGCTTTAGCATATTTTTTACAGGGTGGGGGTGCACCACCTCTGTTGGATTATCTGTTTACCATCTGGTCTATCTGGAAGTTTTTCTATAAAAATCAAACTGGGATTCCAGGGTCACTACACTTCTTAGCTTAGGCCCAATGGTCTAGAAATAACAACTGCTTCTAGTTAAAAGAGTATTTCATTCAAGCCAGGCATAGTTCTAAGAGCTTTATCTAACTCATTTAATCCATTCTACAAATTAGGACATTGAGATACAAATCAAAGTTATTTGTCCAAAGTCATAGTAAGCGAATGGTGGAGCTCCTAGTCAGATCCAGCAAGTCTGACTCCAACAGCCTGAGCTCTGGAAGCATTATACCAGCTTTTCAAATGTCAGACAGAGACAAATCAGTAGGTTGTAAAATCACTTTAGGAGGTCTCAACTGGCCTTTCTTTCGTAAGTATGTAGAATCAAATGAAAATAGTGTGCATCACAGATACTGTTTCGTGAACTTTTGGTTTGATATATGTGTATACAAGCATATTTATATGCCAGGTAACATGAAACTAATTCTTAAACTGTGATCAAAAAGGCTGACACCATGCTATGTTGACTCAGATCATCTGACTCCACCTAGAACAAGACTGCAGGATCTGAATCTGCAGGTATGAGCTTGGCAAAGCACCTAACCCATCTGTAGCTCAATTTCTTCAACTACAAAGTAGAAATAATAATGTGAGTATGTGACAGATTAACACATTAAGTGCTAACAACAGTGCCTGGCCCATGGTAAGTTTTCACTGTTACTTCCTGTAACTATCTATTGCCATCAATCAAATGTTGTACAGTACTTAACATCCTTTTGGGACTCCTCCCACGTATTTTCCCATATGCTATACAGGGAGTGGAGGCCCATTCCTTTAAGAAGGCTGGGAACAATTTCCTGCATGGCCCACGTGTGGAAGAGGATTCCAATGTGGCCTCCATATTCTTTAAACAAAAGAATGCTCTTTTTAAAGTTACCTTTTAAGTCAAGCAACTGATTCCTAAGGAATGGGGCTACTGAGATTACTTGAGTTCACTGTTGTGGACTGTATTCTTTCCAAAAAAAAAAAGTCTTTATTGATATTGGGAGGCGGGTGGTCACGAGGGGTGGGATGGGGGTGAGTGGAGGACAAGAAAAATGAAACCTGTAAAGTACAAAGAGATCTGATGGTTTTAAAAGTAAAGACCTGAAACATGGCTTCATCAGCTCAGGCAGCTCACACACAGATGAGTAAACACAAAACCAAGGAAGTATCCCCAGCACCCCTTACAAGAGGGGCAGGACTGCTGAAGCTGTCAGCAGGGGAGGGTGCAACTCGTCCACTTGCTTCAGCTTTTCCTGCCATGGTGCCAGCTCTGTGACAGCCAGAGAGAATTAAAGTGGGGATGGAAACCCAGGCACTAGGAAAGCACGTCAGACTACACCCCAGCTTAAAGCCTGCCAGAGGCTGCTCGCTGCATTCAACCAAAATCTAAACCTGCAGCCCTGATCTGCTCACGAGATCTAGTCCCACCCTCTCCTCACCTGCAGGAGGTGCCCTGGACTTGATGTTCCGTAAACACAGTAGTGACTGAGGTCTCATCCAGGACCCTGATTCTGGCTGTTCTCATTCCCAGAACAGTCTTCACCCTCGAACAAATATGGCTTCTCCTACTTGTTCAGGTTTCAGCTCAAATGCCTTCCCTGACCAGTCAAAAGTTCAATTTGCCTTCCTCGCCCATTTCTGGCACCTCACCCAGTGGCATTTCCTCCACAGCACTTAGTCTCACTTGGTTAGTGACTGTCTACCCTTTCTGAAATCTTAAGTTCTCTGAGAACAGTCTTATCTTCTTTAGTACTAGATTCTCAATGCCTAGGTGGTCAAAAACCTAAGTTGGAAAAAAAGGGAGGCCAGGCACTGTGGCTGACACCTGTAATCTCAGTACTTCGGGAAGCCAGGGCAGGAAGATCACGTGAGGCCTAGAGTTCAAAACCAGCTTGGGCGACATAGCAAGACTCTTTGTCAAAACACACACACACACACACACACACACACACACACAGACACACAAATTAGCCGAGTGTGGTGGCACACACTTGTAGTCCCAGTTATACTGGGAAGCTGAGGCAGATCACTTGGGCCCAGAAGTTTGAGGCTGCAGTGAGCTAGGTTCGCCCCACTCCACTCCAGCATGGCTGAGACAGACCTTATCTCTACAAAAAATATATAGATCGAGATTTAGATCTGTGGGTAGAGATTTCTGTCCAGTCTCACAGAGCTGAACAAGTGCTTTGCAACGAATTTTAGAAAAAGTAAAAATGCCTGCCTCACTCATCTCCCACTCCTCTGGCCCTAAAAACTCCTAGTTGGAAGTGTGAGTTAAGAGTTCCACAAGACGTTACTGGATGGCAAGTCTTCAGTGAACAAAAAAAAAAAAAAAAAAAAAAAAAAAAAAAAAAAAAAAAAAAAAAAAAAAAAAAAAAGAAAAAAAAGAAAAAGAAAAAATAATAAAAAATAAAATAAAAGAGTTCCACAACAGCCCTGCATCACAACTGCCCAGTCCACAGGAGCTACTTAATTAATCGACTGCACTGACCTCTAACCTCTGTCTACTCAGGGCAAGAATCCACTGCAGTGGACACAGGGCCAGAGTTTTCACAGGAACTGCTGACACAGCTGACGAAGACACCGGCTGAGGAGACGACGGCACAGCGCTGCAGCTAAGGGTCAGCTTCGGAGTCCTCACCTCACTGGTAGCGTGTTGACACTAAGCAAGTAACTCCATCTCCATGAACCTTGCTGTCTTCACTGATAAATGGAGCTAATGCCTATTATGTCAGTGGGGTACCCAAGAGGGTCAGCTGAAAGGGCACTAAACCACTAAGCGCCAGAGTTAGAAAAACTAATAATCCATAAAGGGTAGCTGCCATTATCAGAAAGATCCAGGGCGGGCGCAGTGGCTCACACTTGTAATCCCAGCCTTTTGGGAGGCCGAGGAGGGTGAATCACCTAAGGTCAGGAGTTCAAGACCAGTCTGACCAATATGATGAACCCCATCTCTATTAGAAATATAAAAATTAACTGGGTGTAGTGGCGGGCACCTGTAGTCTCAACTACTCGGGAGGCTGAGACAGGAGAATTGCTTGAACCCAGGAGGTGGAGGTTGCAATGAGCTGAGACTGCACTCCAGAGTGGGTGACAGAGTGAGACTCAGAAAAGAAAAGAAAAAAAAATCCGTTAACTCCATTCTCATTCTTGACCAAGCCACTTTAATTTGTAACTTTAATGTACAATATGAAGTCGATAATCCTTGAAATCCTCACCTGGATCCTGCAGGAAAACAAAAGTAGAAAGCTTTGAGTACTTTTATATTCACTAATTCAAATCCGTAATTATTCAAGTATTTCTTGAGCACTGATCATGTGATAGCCTTCCAGAGGAGAGAAGCAAAATCACCATTCCTCTCAAGGGTTTACAGTCCAGTCATTAAAACAAATTTGTGGCTGGGCCCGTGGTGGCTCCGGCCTGTAATCCCAGCACTTTGGGAAGCCAAGGCAGACGGACCACGAGGTCATGAGTTTGAGACCATCCTGGCCAACACAGTGAAACCCTGTCTCTACTAAAAATACAAAAAATTAGCCAGGCATGGTGGCAGGCACCTGTAATCCCAGCTACCCACGAGGTTGAGGCAGGAGAATCGCTTGAACCCAGGAGGCGGTGGTTGCAGTGAGCCGAGATTGGGCCACTGCACTCCAGCCCGGACTACAGTGCAAGACTCCAACTCAAAAAAAAAAAAAAAAAAGATTTGTTTTCCAGGTGCAGTGTCTCACATCTGTAATCTCAACACTTTGGGAGGCCAAGGCAGGTGGATCGCTTGAGTCCAGGGATCAGCCTGGGCAACATGGTGAAACCTCATCTCTACAAAATATAAAAAATTAGCCAGGCGAGGTCGTCCCAGCTGCTGGGAAGGCTGAGGTGGGAGAATCACTTGAGCCCAGGAGGCTGAGGTTACAGTGAGCCACTCCTGCCTGGGCTACTGAATGAGACCCTGTCTCAAAATAGAATAAAATAATTAAATTAAAATAAATTAAAAGCATGTTAAATAAGGACATTTTAACCCCTATGGATTTGAGGGGAAAGGGAACCTTCTTACTACCTCCCTTTTTAAAGAAGCAAAACTCACTTTCTGACCTGGAAAATGAAAAAACCATAACCGTTTACTATTTAAAGAGTTAATTTTCATATAGTTCTATATAGTAATATTCCCACATGCTGGATATATTTAAATGCTGACAGCAGGACACTATTTATTGCAGCTACATACTGTAAGCTCCATCTGTCCTGTTAACCACTCTATGCCTGTGCTTGGCACAGAATTGGTCTTAATACATCTTTGATCAGTGGATTGATAAACCCTAAAACTATAACCTAACTTAGGAAAAAATCAATTTTTAAATATACAGTGGGTCAGGTTCGATAGCACATGCCTCTAATCCCAGAACTTTGACAGGCCAAGGCAGAAGAATCATTTGAGCCCAGCTGTTTGAGACCAGCCTGGGCAACATAGTGACACCCTGTCTCTACAAAATAAAAAATGTAAAAAAAAAAAAAATACAATGAAAAGAAGACACCAAAGCAAATGTGAAAACTTAAAGACAGAATCAGATACATGGCTAGGCACAGTGGCTTACACCTGTAATCCCAGCATTTTGGGAGGCTGAGGCAGGCAGATCACTTGAGGTCAGGAGTTCAAGACCAGCCTGGCCAACATGGCGAAACCCCGTCTCTACTAAAAATACAAATATTAGCCAGGCATGGTAGCATGTGCCTGTAATTGCAGCTATTCAGGAGTCTGAGGCAGAAGAACCACTTGAACCTGGAAGGCAGAGGTTGCCACTGTACCCAGGCCTGGGCGACAGAGTGAGACTCCATCTCGACATGGTTAACTCAGCTTCATGCTATTAGAATATGCAGTTTCTTCAACTCCATCATAGGCACAACGTAAAAATTAATGTCTATGAAAAAAGGGAAATAAGACTTAAAGGAATCTGGGGTACCCACTTGTAATGAGTGAGTCTGAGTCTACACCTTCAGTCTTCATCATCAGGAGGGATACCCAATTCTTCATCTGTCCACTGGGAAGGATCAGGATACGGAAAGTGACCCTGGGGACAACCATTTAAAAGAAAGAAAAGTCAAGAATTTACATTCCATGCAACTAATTAATTTTTTAAATAAACCTTGGAAAGAAGAAAACACAATATGGCTAACTGCCATCTACAGAGCGCCTCCCACAGAAACACATCCTGGCAAAGTCTGGCAAAATATGTTTCAAACTCTCCTAACATTACCGCTGTGGAATCGAGAAGCCTCAGGTGGACTTCCTCATCTTCAGTCCTGACCTAAGGGCTTCTCTGGCTGCATCAGCATCGTCTCAGGCCTAACAGCTGTATACACTATGCACACTCTGGACAGCTGACCTACAGTGAGGTAGAGGCATCTCAAATAGCAAAGGTGCTGCCAGTTTCCAGACACTAAGCGGCTCCTTGCTGAAGGACAGTGGCACAGAGAAGTTCTAAGAGAAATGGGATATGAGGCAACCTGATGCTTCAAAAACTTGCATACTGCTTAAGATTTTCTTCCTATCCTGGAAACAGACCCAAATTTACTAAAATTCAAAGTATTCTAGACCAACAAGCGAAGATTTTGATGTCTTAAAGGTGTAATTTTCTAGAGGACAGTCTGCAAATGTGATAAAACCTCAGCTGACGCAAGGATATGTTAGAAAATCACTAATACTAACTTTCCTTCTAAAGACAAATTAACTCATACCCATCCCACCCAAACCTGGCTGCCCTGGGTCTCTGGACAGACTAGAAAACAATTGTCATTTAAAGGAATTTAAGTGTGAAACTTAATCCACCAACGAACAGCTAGTTCAGAAGGTAAAAGAATTAGTTTCTAGAAAATAAAGAAAGAAAGAAAAAAAAAGATTTCATTTCTGGCTAGACATGGTAATTCACGCCTATAAATCCCAGCATTTTGGGAGGCTGAGGTAGGCAGATCGCTTGAGGTCAGGAGTTCAAGACCAACATGGCCAACATGATGAAACCCCATCTCTACTAATAATAAAATTAGCCGGGTGTGATTGTGCACACCTGTAGTCCCAGCTACTGAAGGGGCTGAGGCACCAGAGTCACTTGAACCCAAGAGGCAGAAGTTACAGCAAGCCGAGATGGCACCACTGCACTCCAGCCTGGAGACAGAGTGAAACTGTGTCTCAAAAATAAATAAATAAATAAATAAATAAAAATTAGTTTCTAGCCTCCCTTTCTAAGATGGCAATCTAACAGGAACCATAAGAAACGGACCACCTAAATATACATCCTCGTGTAAAAAAAGGTCAGAAGATAACATGTTTCATTAAATAACAGGATTCTCGTACAGACATCTAGATAACGTGGTGGTGGCAAAGGGATATGTCCAGATAGAACAATGGTCTACAACAGAAAAATAAACAAGCTAAGCTATTAATACATCCTCCTCCCCCTACCACACTTACCAGCACGGCTTCTGAGTCATGCCAAAAGCGCCACAGAATCCAGAACCACATGGTTGCACTTAAGGTCTCGCCCCAGATCACCTGTTTTCTGGTCACCTGGGGGAACTGTCTGTATCGGGGCTCAATGTGCACATCACCACCAGCACTGCAACACAGAATGAAATGGCAGGCAGCATGCTACAAAGTGTTACGTCATCCAAAACTTTGAGTTACATCCTAGAACCAAAGCTAACACTTCTCATCTTCTCCACTGAAATACAGACACAACAGAGGTTCGCAATCCCTTGAAATACTCATTTTTCACTAAGCTTGCTTCATGTGTAGCAGCAAATACTGACCCGAACTGACAAGAGGCTAATTTTGGTTTACAATTAGTGAATATTCCTAATTTTGCACTAGAAATTCGAATGTGTTGATTATAGGGTGCCACTCCCAAAGGTTTCAAAGGACTGTGAACTTGTTAGTAGATCACTAACTTATTCAGAAGAATACTTTAATTTTGTTCTGTTCAGCTGTCTATTTCAGAGGCAAATTATGTCCTCTGCCTACTACAATCTTTATTAAATGCAACCATATGGAAAAGAGGACTCTCCTATTAAATATGCTAATAGCTCTGAAGAAAGAACTTTTAACAGTAAGTTTGAATATGTTTTTCTTCCATTTAGACACTTGACAAGTTGTGGCACACAGTCTGTAAGAGCTATAGTCAATGTATTCAGTTGGGAATATAATTATCATACATTGCATCTAACTTAAATTATTTGCACCTACTGGGGCAATGCCTAAAAGCTATTCAGCAGCTATACATATACTAATACACAGAAGTGGATAAAAAAAATTTTAAGAAAATTCCTATATATGTTTACGAATTTCATCTAGGTAACAATCGGCTTATAAACCATATTCTCTGTTGTGCAGCACAGAAATTAGTACCTGCAGGAAAAGTGCATTAAAATTTCTTATCTTCATAATGTGCAGATTCATGAACAGTAATATGGCAATGATTCTTGATACATGCTAACTAGGATTGCTTGTTTTGTTTGAGAGTCTCACTCTGTCACCCAGGATGGAGTGCAATGGTGCAATCTTGGCTCACTGCAACCTCCGCCTCCCAGGTTCATGTGATCCTCCTGCCTCAGCCTCCCAAGTAGCTGGGACTACAGGCATGCGCCACCATGCCCAGCTAATTTTTGCATTTTTTTTTAGTAGAGACGGGGCTTCACCATGTTGGCAAGACTGGTCCCAAACTCCCGACCTCAGGTGATCCACCCACCTCGGCCTCCCAAAGTGCTGGGATTACAGGCGTAAGCCACCATGCCCGGCCAGTAACAGCCTTCTTCTTTGACAGCTTTTTGATACAATCTAAGTGTCCAGCAGTAAAGCTCATTAAAACAATTATAGTTCAAACCCATCTTAGCAGCTCCCCACGCTTCCTTCGTTGCCAAAGTGACATGTTTTAATTATGACCTGAAGTAGGGACTGCAAGGTGGCTATAATCACAGCAAAGGAACAGATGACGATTGCCATGATTAAGGACTGCAAAGACCTAATTCACAACGTTATGTTCCAAACCAGGTTGTGAACTGCACTGTGGCAGACCAGATGCCCTGAACAAGTCTCCAAATTAAACAACTCTGATGCCAGATGAGATTTTTAAGATTTTTTACAAACATCACTGACCAGGCACAAAAGGAAAGAATCCACCAAGGGCAAAATCCAAGTGAAAACACGGCCTGGAAACTAAGCAATCACTAATGCTGCATTCATTCACCAGAAGTCCCTGAACCTCCACTGGGATAGCCACATGAGGTGTGGGGACAAGAGACGAAGCCTGGGGCCCACCCAAGGTGGGAGGTCTAATTAAGAGATCTCTGAGTACAGCTGCAGCCCCAGGGTAAAAGGGAGAAGAAATAAACCTGCCATGGAGAAGGGAACAAGTATTTGTTATCTGACGCCAGTCCTCAGGTGGGTTTGCACCCAAATCCACACTACCTGTGTTGGACCTGTGTGGACCAAAAACCCCAAGGCGAGAACTTAAAGTGAGCTTGAATTGGCAGTGCCCTCAAGAGACTAAGAGAAGGAAGATCTCAAAGAAGTTCCAGGGAAAACGAGCTCAAGATCAAAAAGTATAAGCAAACAAGACACTATGAGCAAGTCCTATAAGAAAGAAAGAGAATGGGGACTAAACATCCAAGGAAATAATGGCCGTTCCAACTTAGAATGCTTGAGAGTCAAGTTTAAAAACAAAAATGCACCATAACTCTGCTAAAATTACATTTTTATTTTTATTTTTTTTTGAGACAGAATCTCACTCTGTAGCCCAGGGTGGAGTGCAGGGCAAGATCTCGGCTCACTGTAATCTCGGCCTCCTGGGCTCAAGCAATTCTTGTGCCTCAGCCTCCCCAGTGGCTGGGATTACAGGCGCATACCACCACGCCCAGCTAATTTTTGTATTTTCGGTAGAAACGGGGTTTCACCATGTTAGCCAGGCTGGTCTCGAGCTCCTGACCTCAGGTGACCCGCCTGCCTCAGCCTCCAAAAGTGCTGGGATGACAGGTGTGAGCCACTGCACCTGGCCAAAGTTACATTTTTAAAACATAAATCGCCGGGTTCGGTGGCTCACGCCTGTCATCCCAGCACTTTGGGAAGCCAAGGTGGGCGGATCATGAGGTCAAGAGATCGAGACCATCCTGGCCATGGTGAAACCCCGTCTCTACTAAAAATACAAAAATTAGCCGGGTGTGGTGGCACACACCTGTGGTCCTAGCTACTCGGGAGGCTGAGGCAGAAGAATCGCTTGAACCCAGGAGGTGGAGGTTGCAGTGAGCCAAGATCACACCACTACCCACAAGCATAGAAAACAGAGCGAGACTTCATCTCAAGAAAAAAAAAGAAAAGAAAAGAAAACATAAATCAGACCACATTACTTTCCTGCTTTAAAACTCCAATGGCTCCCTATGATTCTTAGAATAAAATCCAGAGTCCTCCAAAGCCCTCTCTAATCCAGCCTTGTCCCTGTGACCTGGACTCTCCCACTCTTCCCTTGGCTCCACTCCAGCCTGGCCTCCTGCCAACCCTGCCCTTTCATGTCCACCAGTCTCTTCCCTTGAGGTCTCTACACGTCTGACTTCTCATCCTCAGGTCCCGGTTCAAATTACACTCCCAGGCATTCCCCCACCATCCCCAAATACAGTATCCTTTCTATTCCCACTCAAGCACTCTCCATATTAATCCCCGGCTATATTCTCTATATTGGCTGCTTCCGGCTGTCTTCTCCTCCCACCCTGCGGCGTTCTCTCTGGGCGATCGCCTCCACTCCCTGCAGCCAGAGTGATTTTTCAGCATTAAAAAGTGGTCACGTGATGTCTCTAATTAAAGCCTGCAGAACTGACTCTACCCTGAATTTCGCAGCCAGGCACCGGGACCCTGGACCCTCCCTCGGCCTCACCGCTGCCGCCCCCCCTCCTTGCTCCAGTCGCGTCCACACCCGGCCTCAAGCTGCTTTCTCCGCCTGGATCGCCCGCACCGGCGCCGACCCACTCAGACGGCTCTGAATTCACGCGTGCGTCTCCCGAGAGCAGGCGGTCCCTACGACCATGACGGCCCCGCACACGGTGTTCCACCTGCCCAACAAAGTCTCTTCCTCACTCCCTCCGCCCCGCGGAGTCCCTCTCCCCCAGCCACAGCGTCGGGGGACGGGCGGACTACAGGTCCCAGCATGCCTCGGGGCGCGGCCTCTCCAGGCGCCCCAGTAAAGGTGAAGGCGTCCCGGAGACCCGCGCCGTCTGCTACAGGCCGGCGAGGCCCCCATCCCCAGCCTGACACTCACTGACGGACGCCACCGTCTCCAGCAGCCCGTGCGCGGCCACTTCTGAAAAGGCGGCCACCAACGGCTGCTAAAGACGCCAGCCGAGTTAGAGCCGACATGCTCGCCTGCGTCCGCCCAGTCGTCCCCGGCTACGCCGCCCCTGCATACGTCACTTCCCCCGCGTCCCGCCCCGCGCCTCCCGTGACGTCGCGGAGTTGCCCATCTCCCGGATTGTGGGAGCCGACAGCCGCGCCCGACCTGAATTAGCCGTGGGTCCCTTCGCTGCAGGAAACCTCTCTCCCGAGAGCAAAGCCCACGCATAGCTTATGGTTGCTGAGCTGCCCCGTGGCCTCTGAAACATCTGTTTCAGATCCTGAAGGACTCTCCCCCTGTTCTCCAGCCCCTCCTAAAACTGAGGTGTATAATGTATTTTATTTTAGTTTTTTTTTTTTTTTTTGAGACAAGGTCTTTCTCGGTCGCCCAGGCTGGAGTGCAATGGCACGATTTCGGCTCATTGCAACCTCTGCCTCCCAGCCTCAAGCAATTCTCCTACCTCAGCTTCTCGAGTAGCTGGAACTACAGGCGTGCGCCACTGCGCCCGGCTAATTTTTGTATTTTTAGTAGAGTCGAGGATTTCACCATGTTGGCCAGGCTAGTCTCGAACTCATGAGCTTAGCTGATCTGCCCATCTCGGCCTCCCAAAGTGCTGGGATTACAGGCGTGAGCCACCATGCCCGGCATAAATGGTGTATAAATTAGGGGAGAGCATCCGCTATTTTCTGCCTGAAAGTTGACTTTCCAGTCGACATGCAATAGTGTGGCTCTAACACTGAAGCATATTTGTTTTCCAGATATTCGCTAAGAACTCCAAGGACAAATATCCCTTCCGGCGTTCTGCAGGCTGCCTCGTGGCCGTCTTTTGGTTATCAGATGAACACCCTATTTGAACGGACGTATTTCAGATGAGGGAAGGGATGCCAAGCCCTAGCACTGAGCGCTCAGCTTCTAAATGCAAATCAGATTCCCATTCAAATTTTAAGAAACTGTGAGGACAGACTCTAGATGACCTAACATACAGCATCTAAGCCCAAATCAAAAATGTACTCTAGAGCTGGAAGTAGAAAACAGAGGTGAGAAAAAAAAATTGTTCACAAAATTTTATGTTGCCTTAATTCCCTACTCTGAAAGCCTCACTTGATTTCCCCCGCCCTATAGGTTTGTTTTGTTTCATTTTGTTTTGTTGAGACAGAGTCTCACTCACTATCTTACCCAGGCTGGAGTACAGTGGTGTGATCTGGGCTCACTATGATCTCCATCTCCCGTGTTCAAGCGATTCTCCTGCCTCAGCCTCCTGAGTAGCTGGGATTACAGGCATGCGCCACCACGCCCGGTTAATTTTTGTATTTTTATTAGAGACAGGGTTTCACCTTGTTGGCCAGGCAGGTCTCAAACTCCTGACCTCAAGTGATCTGCCTGCCTCTGCCTCCCAAAGTGCTGGGATGACAGGCGTGAGCCCCTGTGCTGGCCCATGTGTCCCTTTTCTATTGCTACTCCTAGGAACTGAGGTCCTGGGCCCAACACCCCCCAAGCTCACCTGGCATCAGACCCACCCCAGTGAAGTGAAGCCCAGAGAGCCTGCAGCCTTAGGAGAGACCCTGAGCCGGAGGACCCAGTCTAGCTGCACCCAGATTTCTGACCCACAGAAATTGAGAGACAATAAATGCTACTGTTTTAGGCCACTCTATTTTGGGATGATTCGTACCCAGCAATAGACAATACAGGCCACAAATGGCTTGATTCAATCCACTGGCTTTAAGGAAAGGCCCAGCTGTGTTGGCATAGGTTCAGGAGTGTGCCATCTTTTTGTCCCTCTCCTGCCTCCACACTGTACCTGAATGTGCACTGGCACAAGCGGCTGTGTGACCAGCTGGAGTGCCTCCTCCCAGCCATCTGGAGCATCCCAACCCTCTCTACCTGCTCTGAATGCCTCGTCAAGACCTGGGAAGGAAAAAATAACATCACCTCTCTGGAAAAAACTGCACCAAAGGAATCTCTGTGCACCTAAACCGTACTGCTCCCTAAGAGACAGGAATGAGCAACTTTATCCTGGAGAAGGGAAGAATGGAAGAAACTAGTCCTGTGGTCAGGGCAGGACTTTCAGAGAGCACAAGGACCTGACTCCATTCTCTGCCTAGTGATCTCTAAGACGAGCGACATAATCTATCAGGGTGCAGAGATAAAATGTGATTTTACCTAAAAAAAAAAAGAGAGAGAGAGAAATTAAGCTTTACAAATATTCCCCTCCAGGCTGACACCAGGGCCCTCCTGGTCTGCTGCCCAGCCACATCAGCTCAGCTCTGAAAGAAAGCCCGGGGTTGGCCCTGGCAGAGAGAGGCGGGCGGTGGTCACTGCAAGTGTGTCGCCAGGTGCTGCCATGGAGAAGAGGACGTACTGGTTATATTAACTATGTTCATATTCAAAATTAATGCTTGCACATGGACAGGCAGAGACACTGTAGCAGAGAAGCCGCAGTTCGAGACTAGCATGTGAGCCCAGGACAACGTTAAGGAAGTGGCCAAGCCATTCTGCCCATGTCCCCACTGTGTCAGCCACATTCATCAGTTTTGTTTTACCTCATAGTAAGTTAGCAAGGAGTTGTCAAAAACTATTAAAAATTACCAAGAAGATAATTTGAAGTATAATGAAATTTGCCCTAAGTGTATATTATGCTGGCAGGGAGCACTTGCATGACATTTATACATAAATTGTGTGTGTGTTGGGGGGTGGTGGTGCGTGTACCATGGGTCAAAAACCTGAATATCAAAGTCTGGGAACTACCAGCAGGACCCACCTGACCGGGGAGTATAGCAGGTCAAGAAAAGAGAAAAACAGGAAAACAAAATAAATTTATTCATCCTCCTCTGCAGAACATTTTCCCTGAACGAAAGTGTCCCTGGCACCTAGCCCAGCTTCCACAATGGAATGGATAGGCCCCTTCCCTTTTACTCCCTAATTGGCCCAAAGCTTTTGAACACACCCTCAAACCAAGCAGAGGAGAAGCCACGGTGTGCCTTCCACCACTGGAGGGCCACATTTGGAATTGGTGTCCCACTTTTAAAACATCCCAGCTGCCACAGGAGAGGCTCTTGGGAGCGGCCTCCAGCTCTTGACAAGGGCCCACAGAGGCCCACTGCCCCATCACAGGGGACACGCTGGGCCTGTGAGGAGGAAGGGCCTTGCTGCCTCCAGGATGTCCAGTTTGGGGTCCAGTGAGCGGCCAAGCCCCTCCAGCACCATGATGGCAAACACAATGGAGGCAAAGTTGCTCTCAAGCTTTACCTGGAACAGAAAATAGAACAGTTCATCTCGGAACCTGCCGATACAGGGATGTGTCCTGGATAAGCACCATGCTGTCCACTCTCAGCCTCCCTCAGACCTGCCCACGGGATGTTTACCATCTACCTGACATTCTCTTCTCTACCATATCATCTCCCCAACCATCGCTGCTTGCCCAACCTCCCATCTACTAGATACACTAAGGAAAAATCTAGGGGTGCAGCACATACTTTTCTAGGTTTGTGTCCGTGTGTGTATGAACGAAGACCAAATAAATCTTTCACACACATCCCAGAAACCATACATTTAAATACAGGTCATTCTTCAAAATCTACAGTAACCTTTATGTATATATTTATATTTTAGAGACAAGGTCTAACTGTCACCTAGGCTGGAGTGCAATGGCAAGATCATAGCTCACTGCAGCCTTGAACTCCTGGACTTAAGGGATCCTTCTGCCTCAGCCTCCTGAGACTTGGACCCTTTTTTTGTAGACAGAGGGTCTTGCAATGCTGATGAGGCTGATCTCGAACTCCTGGGCCCAAGCAACCCTTCCACCTTTGCCCTCCTCAAGTGCTGGGATTACAGGCAGGAGCCATGTCAGCTGGCCTACAATAGCCTTTTTAAGAGACAACACACAACTGACTGCTCAAAAAGGGCACAGCTACCCTTTCAGAGCCAGATTAGTAGTAATAGCAATTGACATGGATTATTCAACTATTCTTCAAAAGTATCATCATTATCCCCATTCTATAGAGAAAGAAGCTATGGCTCAGAGAGGTTCAATGACTTGCCCAAGGCCACTGGGTAAGGAGGAATAGAGGCATATTTAAACCTAGAACAGGAATCTGCTCTTTAAGTGGACAGAAGGTCAAGAAATGGAAGGTTGACTGATGGGAAAATATTCTTTGTTAGAAATTAAAGAGTGTTTGTCTCCACTAAGCGCTGGAAGGTCTTCGGGGGTCAGGCTGATCTGGGAGAAAGCAGCATGCTCCCATGAGCAGCTGTGGAGTTCCAGCCTGGCTCCTGGGCCACACAGGCTCTGGTCCAGGTGGGAACCCAGGACTCCAGCACCTCTGGGAATGCTTTCATTCTGAAGCTGGGTAGTGAGTTCTTGGTGTGGATTATTAGATTCTTTTACCTCTATGTTACTGTCACATACTTTATTGAAAAGAATTAAGTGCTACCTGAATAGAGATTTCTTCTAAGGAAGATATACAAATGGCCAGCTAGCATATGAGAAGATGTTCAACATCATGAACCGGTAGAGAAAAGCAATGAAACCACAATGAGACAGCGCCTCACACCCATTAGGATGGCCACTACCAACAAAACAGAAAAGGACAAGTGTTGGTGAGGATGAGAGAAACGACCCCTTGTATACTGTTGGTGGGCATGGAAAATAGTACAGCTCTTATGGGAAGTTCCTCAAAAACTAAAAACATACCATATGATCCAGAAAACCCACTTCAGGCATATGTTCAAAAGCTGGAGGCCAGGCGGCCAGGCGCAGTGGCTCATGACTGTAATCCCAGCACTTTGGGAGGCTGAGACAGGTGGATCACCTGAGGTCAGGAGTTCGAGACCAGCTTGACCAACATGGAGAAACCCCCATCTCTACTAAAAATACAAAATAAGCTGGATGTGGTGGTGTGTGCCTGTAAT